CCATTTCCTGGGGTATTGGGGAAATAACTACCTTTACCTCATTTTCCTCTTAACCTCCATCTTTTACCAGTTCCTCCCATTGGTCAAAGCCAAGCAGACACCAAAGGGGAAGGGAGTCCTTGCGTCCACTTAGGTGTCAATGCCCTCCATCATAGACCTCCAGGAACACAGCTGTGATTGATCAATTGTGTTTATTGCTGTTTGTAATGGACGAGAATGCACACACACCCTGGAGGACATTGGGAGTCTCAGAAAGGGGATGCAAGAGAGGATTTATTTCTAGAATTTGGGCTGGCAGTGGGTAACCTGGGAAAGCGCTGAAAAAGCGAGAGGCTTGGCTGTGGGTCAATCCTGTTGGGAAATGAGACAAAACTTCTTACCAGTTACAGCTAGATCTCACCCCATGGCTCCATCATTCTAAATAAGATTTATTTAGATACTCGATCATAGACTTGCCCCACTTTCTCATGGCATCCCCCTCCTCTGATTAAGATGATCGGTTATGTTTGTAGCTCGTACACGTTTTTGCCTGTGTTCCCACATGAGTGTAGAGTGCTCCTGCTATCTTGATTCATGCGGGTCACAGCCTGTCTGATGCTGAGGTTCTACATTAGATTCCAAGCTCTGTCTTTCCACATCCAGCCTGCTGGGCAGTCAGCAAATTTAATCCCTGGGCAAGAGAAAAGCAGTTCCTATTCTCTGGGACCTGGCCTGATATAATCAGGCCTCAGGGCTCTAGTGTTGAATATAAAATTTTTTTAGAACCTCAACATCAGACAAGAGCATGGAAGATGGAAGGTTTTGAGTCCAATGTGATGTTTGTCATCAGGCCACATCTCTGAGCCTGATTCTCCATGAGGAAAAGTAAGAAGTGATTCAGTTTCCCTTGAAAAAAAAAAACACTTATAAAACACTGGTACTGCTGATGCCCCACCTTGGGCTGCCTCCTAACAGAACATTATACAAAGGGAAGAGGGCCTTCTTTCCCACATCATTGGAGGTTATTGGACCCTGTGCAACTTGGGCACCTAGGAGGGATGGTTAACTCTGTGAAGGTGTCTGGCAGGCCACGGAGGAGAAGTGCATTCTGGCACCTGATTGGAAAATGAAGCTCCGAGAAACAGAGGAGGCCATTGGTCTGTAAGCACAGAAGAGATGTCCTCTAGGGATCCCCAGGTACACACAAGGGACTTTATAAGATCTCAGGAAGCTGAGATCTTGAATTATGTAGAAGGAAGAAAGGAAGGACCAGAGAAATTTGGGCTTACCCTTATTGTCACTTTGTTAATATCCATGGTCTGTTGAGGCATAGTGGAACCTAGCATAAATATTTTAAAACACCAAATCAACCAATTTCACATGCATTTAATTAAAATGAGCCTCTTCCTCAGTTTGGCAACGATGCACAATGCACTTTTAACAGCTTTGTGCATCATTCCCAACCTGTAAATGCAGATAATCAGGCTTACTTATTTATAAGGTTCTTTGAGGTTTGGGGATGAAAGACTCTTTTAAAGTACAAAGCATTAATTTTTTGTGACAGAGTGCTGTATGAGAAATGAACATGAAGTAATAGAAAAAAGTTTGTGTTCTTTCTGGCTTTCGGTTTTTAGTTGCTTTCTTCAATGAGACACAAAAGCCAGCCTCCAACAGGAGATCTGGGGTTTGAGATAACAGAACTAATAAAGTCCTGGAAGTATAAAATCCTAGATAGGCTCAAATCAGCTACTCCTTTTGAAGACTGGAGAAGTAAATTGATAGTCAGAGTATTCTGTACAAATGAACTCATTTCAGTAAGTTGCACTGATAAGCCTAGGAGTATGTAAATGGACCTCTATTTATAGACCCGTTACATCCATTTTTGACCAGGACGAGCCAGTGGAGCGATCGCAATAGTCAATCATTACAAGTAACTAGACCACAAGAGAAAAATGTGCCAGTTGCTAGGTGATGACTTTCAATCTATCATTTTAAGCAATAAATATAAGATGAAGTTATGAGGAGAGAAGCTATTCATAGCTAAAACTCTAGCTTAAATGGCTATTATTTATTGCACGGAACTGAAATCGGATGAAGTTGAGAAACCCAGCATACCAACCCAGAAGCCAAGATGCTATACCAGCGGACATCTTTCAAGGACAAAGCCAAAGGTAAAGAGAGAACAAGGATTTAGGAGAAGGATGGAGAGGATACATGTTAAAAAAACGAAACACCATGGATCTGACTGTGTCACTTATCATTATGCTTCAAACCACGAAAGGCAAAAGGAGTAAGTATTGTTTCATTATTTAGAACTTTGCCATTTCTAAAAAAGAAGAAAAGTCCATCAGACACTATCAATTAGCGAGCAGGTGGCAATAATGTATTTAGCACAATGGCAGACGTGAATGTCATGGAAGACCCTGCTGTCGGAGGGCATGGAAATCGGTTTGGAAATGCAGGTAATGCAAGTGAAACAGAGAATCACAAAAGGCATCAAAATCCATTGGTTAAACCCTATACCCGGCCTAAAGCAAGTGCTTCATCAATGCCAGGTTTAACGATAAAGAATTGTGTAGCATAGTGTATACTATCGCTGAGTCTATAAGGCAGAAACTTCAGCTGTCTAAAACACAGCTGAGAATTTCAAAGCACAAGAAAAAGCTTTCCCTCATTACCCATTTACTTTCGCAAGCCCGGTCTTCTAGAACAGTGGTTCTCATACTTTAGGGTGCATCAGAATCACCTGGGGAACTTGGTTAGTCACAGATCGCTGGGCCCCACCCCCCAGAGTTTCAGATCCAGCAGGCCTAAGATCATTTGCCTTTCTAATGTGTTCCCAGACGATAGTGCTACTTCTGATTTGGGGAGCATATTTTGAGAACTACTGATGTCAAAGATTTTAAGCAAATTTAAAAGCATGAAAGAAGAAAATAATAACAGCTAGTACTACTGTATACCCACGATGTCACTATCCTTCAAATCCTCCATTAGGGGATAGATAGAATGAATGATGATAGATAAAGAGATGATAGACAGATAGATGATAGAGAGAAAGCCTCTAGTTTTCATATATGCACAAACACAAAAATAGGCATTACGTATTTCTAATTTTATAAATAAAAACCTAGAACTAGGAAAAATGAAAACACTTTCCCACAGCTTATAAGAGGTAGAACACAGTTTTGAACCCCAGCCTGTCTCAGTTAAAGCCTACCGTCCCTTCCCCATATCATTCTGCACCTCAAGAAGGCAGCAGTCACCTGTTGACAATAAAAAACACCAGCTCACAGTGTTAGAAGAGCTAAAAACCAACCAAAACCAGAAAGTAGAATAGACAGCATATTAAAAAGCAGTGACATTACTTTGCCAACAAAGGTCTGTCTAGTCAAAGCTATGGTCTTTCCAGTAGTCATGTATGGATGTGAGTTGGATCATAAAGCTGAGTGCTGAAGAATTGATGCTTTTGAACTGTGGTGTTGGAGAAGACTCTTGAGAGTCCCTTGGACTGCAAGGAGATCCAACCAGTCCATCCTAAAGGAAATCATTCATTGGAAGGACTGATGTTGAAGTTGAAACTCCAATACTTTGGCCACCTGATGCAAAGAACAGATTCATTTGAAAAGACCCTGAGGCTGGGAAAGTTTGAAGGCTGGAGGAGAAGGGGACGACAGAGGATGAGATGGTTGGATGGCATCACCAATTCAGTGGACATGAGTTTGAGTAAATTCCAGGTGTTGGTGATGGATAGGGAGACCTTGTGTGCTGTAGTGCATGGGGTCGCAAAGAGTTGGACACGACTGAGCGATTGAACTGATCTGACTGAAGAAAATACAAAAAATCATAGTGGCTTGTGTCTTTTTAACACACAGTCTGCCTCTCTGCAGGCTGGAGAGAAGGGACCTGTGTTGAACTGCACAGTTTTGTTGCTTGGGGTGACCCTTGACAGTAGGGTGGGTGGCTGGGCCTACCTGATGGCTCTAGCCTTGTTATGGTTGAAGCAGAAACTGGCTGGGATGACTCAAAATCCAGAGAATGGACAAAAGGAGATGCTTTAAAATTACACACTCTCTTGGAAGGGCTCATATTTCTCCATACTGACATTGACTTTGACCCCAAATAATGATTATATGTGGAAGGCAACAGGGTCAGAACTCTAAAAAGTGTCTGTCTCCCTCCTCCTCCTCCTTTTGTTCCTATACAAAGAAGGGCCTTTGGTTCCAGGCCGAGAGTGGCCACGTACCATTTGGAAGTGGACTCCCATTCCCCTTGTCACATCTCCTACCTATGGTCTTGCTTCCTGCCTTGAGATAATATAAGCCCCTCAGGTGTGGTATCATCCAGATATTCTTTTCCTTTTTCAGATAACTTAACTTTATTATATTTTGTACTTAATAGATAAGTGGTGATTGGGGGAAGACTATAAACAATACAATCAGAGTATTTCCCAGTGAAAACCAAACTTACAGGTTTTCGTTCACTCTTTGTTAGGTATTCCAGGACCTGTAAATTAATGCCAGGGGTTTCCCTGGTGGCTCAGTGGTAAAGAATCCTCCCGCAATGCAAGAGATGCAGGTTAGATCTCCGGGTCGGGAAGATCCCCTGGAGAAGGGAAACGGCAACCTACTCCTTTGCCTGGGAAATCCCATGAACAGAGGCGCCGGGCCGGCTACAGTCCACAGGGTCGCGGGAGAGTTGGACAGACCTAACAACTAAACAAGCATTAATGCCAAGAGTTTCTACAGCTGGGGCTCACCTTCCCCCTCCCCACATGCAAGCACACCCTAATCTGATGCCGGTTGCTGACCTGGGCTCCCAGTTATCCCCCAGCCAGGCCCCATTTCGTTTTGCCCACTTTCCTCTGAGGCCCTGCCAGGTCCTCCTCTCTGCAGCCCCGACACCTGCAGGTAGCATCGCTGATGCGAACCACCTGGGACCTCAGGGGTGGGGGTGGGGAAACGTGAGTGGAGCGAGAAACGGATGCGAGCCCAGGTGGGCCTGACGGGGGAGGAGCAGTGAGCATGCGCCACCGGACCTGGGGCCGCGTGGAGGGGAGCCAGGAGGCGAGGGGAGGAGCCTGGAGACGCGGGAGAGAGGTGAGCTGGCGGTGTGGTGTGGTCGCTGGCGGCGACCTGGACGAGGCCGCGGCAGCTCCTGGACGCAGAGCAGGTAAGACAGCAGCCCTGGAGGGAAGAAGAAGGCCCCTCCTCTCTGCCCTTGATCCCAAATGAGCTTAGTTCCTTTGGGACTGGCTTCCCTTGAGGAAGGGGTGAGATTCAAGGGTAGCTGAATGTCCCCCTTGCGTCCTCCCCCTCCCCCACACCTATCTGCGGATGTCTGCTATTATTTTAACAGCAAATAAGACCTTTCACTTCCATACTTACAAGATTGAATTATGAGACAAAGAACAAATGTTCCCTGACCCAAATGTATCCATAGTAAAGTATAAGGGACTAAAATGGCCACCCACTCCAGTATTCTTGCCTGGGAAATCCCCATGAACCGAGAAGCCCGACAGAGTACAGTCCATGAGGTCGTGAAAGAGCAGGACAGGGCTGAGCGACTATACAACAGTGAGGGACTAAGGTGAGACTTGTAGGGTAGATAGAGGTTAGGAAAAGGAACACCGTCTTGTCCACCTAGATACTCTGATTTGACTCACCAAGGCATCCTGTGGCTGCAAAACTCTCCCAAGTGCTTCTGATGGTAGCGGAATATGAGAAACTGCTCTGCCATCTCCCTTGGTTTAGATCTACGGTCTCTCCTGCCGCAGCTTTCCCCCCTCTAAAAACATACTCTATCCAAACTCAAGGAGAAAATACTTTCATCAACCCAGCATCTACACAAACTCCTTGTTCATCTGTATTCATAAAAAATAATGAAGGTTATGCCTGCCTGTTTATTTAAACCCATTCAGTATTTAACCCCTCAAAAGCAGACTCTGCTCTCTAACACCCGTCAAAGCAGGGTTTTTATTTTTTTTTTAATTTATTTATTTATTTATTTATTTATTTTTTACCACAACCATAGTGTATCTTTTTTTTTTTTTTTTACATGTATTCCCCATCCCGGTCCCCCCTCCCACCTCCCTCTCCACCCAATCCCTCTGGGTCTTCCCAGTGCACCAGGCCCGAGCACTTGTCTCATGCAACCAACCTGGGCTGGTGAACTGTTTCACCCTAGATAATATACGTGTTTCAATGCTGTTCTCTTGAAACATCCCACCCTCGCCTTCTCCCAGAGTCCACAAGTCTGTTCTATACATAGGAGTCTCTTTTTCTGTTTTGCACATAGGGTTATCGTTACCATCTTTCTAAATTCCATATATATGTGTTAGTATACTGTAATGGTCTTAAAGCAGGGTTTTTAGTTTTCTTCTGTTTCTTGAACTCAGATGCCAATAACTTAGTGGCTCAGTTAATAAAGAATCCGCCTGCAGTGCCGGAGACCTGGGTTCGATCCCTGGGTCGGGAAGATCCCCTGGAGAAGGAAATGGCAACCTACTCCAGTATTCTTGCCTGGAAAATCTCATGGACAGAGGAGCCTGGAGTCCATGGGGTCACAAGAGTCGGAGTCGATGGAGTGACTAAACCACCACCTCCTCAACTTTAATGATGTGGTTGATATGGAGACTATTTAATCTTTGAATCCCTCTCAGGCCTTGAATTTGTGACCTCGGTTAATACTGCATTTCCTCCCTTAACAACCATGGCTTCCATGTCACTGTTACTCTTTTCTTCTCCTCTACCACTTAGCCATAGAAATTCCTCAAAGTTCCATGCACTTTCCCTTGGCAATCTCACCCGTTTGCAGGAATTCAATAATCACTTTTTAAAACCGTCTCTGCCTTCTTTACCTGTTGCCCAAGACTCAAAAAGTCTAAACCGAGATTCCACCCATGTATTCCTCCTGTACCTCCCCACCAGGCTCTCCCAAGTCAACATGTCCCAAATGAATCCGTCGTTACCCTCTAGCCTCTGTTTCTTCCCCACTCTCTTATCTCTTATGGAGTCACCCAGAGTTGAATCATTGATATTATCTTGGAGGTACCTTTGTTTTCCTCCTTTCCTGCTAATTAGAACACATTCTCCGTAATTATGCTAATACCTTCATGGAGGTACAATTGACATACATACAATAAGCTGTACCTAAAGTGTCTAATGTGATAAAATTGTACATATGTATATATCCATGAAACACACAAGATAGTGAACAGAACTGTAACAAAAAGTGTCTCAGGCTCCCCTTCCCAACTGTCCCCTCTCCAGCCCAGGCAGCTATCTGCTTTCTGTTACTAAAGGTTACTTGGCACATTTTAGAATGATATTGATCTTTTCCTGTGATTGTTTACCATTGTGTTCTTTTGTGAAGAATCTGTTTAATCTTTTGTTAAAATGTTAATTTACAAAGAAATATACTGTTATTAATATTATTACATTTGAGGGCTCTTTATATATATCCTGGATACAAGGCCTATGTCAGATTTATGATTTGCAAATATTTACTTCCAGTCTGTGACTTGCCTTTTCAGTCTCATCATGGTGTCTTTTGAAGAGAAGTTCATAGTTTTGATGAAGTCCAATTTTTTCTTTTATAGATCATGCTTTTGGAATTGTATCTGAGAAATCGTTGCTTAATCCAGGGTAGCAAAGATTTTCTCCTGTTTTTCCTTCCTGAACTGGTATGGTTACAGGCTTCACATTTAGGTCTGAGATCTATATTCAGTCAATTTTTATGTGTAGCTTGAGATATAGATCAAAATTCCTTTTTTCTTTTGCATATGGATAGTATATTGTTCTGCACCATTTGTGGGAAATTCTAACAAAACTCTTTCTCTGCTTTGTTGAAATCAATTCATCATATATGTGTGGATCTTTCTATTTTAGTTTCTAGACCCTTTATTTCATACCACTGATCAATTTGTCTACAAGGATATCAGTGTGACATATCTTGATTATCATAACTTCATGATAAGTCTTGAGACCAGGAAATGTAAAGTTTGTTCTTCATTTGGAAAAAATTGGCTATTCTAGGGCCACTTAATTTCCATACAAATTTTATGGATTTTGAGTGGGATTTATTGAATCTATAGATCACCTTGGAGAAAACAGATGTATTGTAATACCAAGCCTTCAGCTCCACAAGTATATCTCTCCATTTATCATGTCTGCTTAAATGAACCACAGCAGCATTTTGTAGTTTTCAGTATATAGGTATTATTCATCTTTCGTTAGATTAATCTCTAACTATTGTGAGTTTTATCTTGTTGGCTTCTGTGTATTTTTATATTCTCATAAATATTTGTGAGTTGTTCTGGAATATGGTTAAGTTACCTGGAAATTGGAAACAGTTTGATCCTTTTGAGTCTTGCTATAAAGCTTTGTTAGGCAGAACCAGAGCAGCACTTAGTCCAGGATTAATTTTTCTCCACTAGTGAAGTAAAACCCTTCTGAGTACTCTGCCTTATGCCTTGTGAATTACATTTTCTACTCTTGCTGGTGAGAGCATGAAATCTTCCTGGCCCTGTCTGAGATTTTATGGCCTGTACCCTCTGATCCTCTTAGATGGTTCTTTTCCCAGCCTTGGATAGTTTCCTTATGAATAGGTGCCGATCATTACTCAGCTGAATATGCAAGAGATGTCCTCTACAGAACTCCACAATCCTCTCTTCTCATGGATTTCCTTCCATGAAAACTCTAGGTCCCTGAGAGTTTGACTTCCCTGTACCCACCTCTTTGTCTCCTCAACTCAAGAAGACCATTGGGATCCACGTGAGTTCTTTTTCCTTTCTTGCTGCAAGGCCTGGAACCTCTCTCCAAGCAATAAACTGGGGCTGTCATAGGGTTCACCTCATTTGTTTGCCATCTTTCTGAGAACACTGCCCTTCGTTGTCTGATATCCACTGCCTTGAAAAACTTTGTTTCATGTATTTGTCCATTTTCTCAGTTATTTTAAGTAGGAAGACAAATCTAGTCCCACTTCTTCCATCTTAGCTATACAGAGTTGTCCTCCATGTCCCGTGACTTTATTCTACAGATTCTATTCTGTTCTCTTTCATTCACATTTTCTATTCCACTGACCTGTTTGTAACATTGTAAAAACAACAATGAAAGAACTTTCATTTATGAACCCTTGCTGTATGCCAGGGCCTGTGTTACACACTTGATAAGTGTTAAATCCAACAACCATGGCTGTGAGTTGGGCGTATTTACCTATGAAGTATTTAAAACATTTAGAACAGTTCAAAGTAATGTAAATATTCTCAACACCTAGAATGGACAGTGCTAAATTTTGGCCATATTTGCTTCAGCAGATGTGAAAATTCCCTTTGTATATTTTTCCCCAGATCAATTTCCAGCCTTCCCTTGCTTAACATAGCTTTATTCTGGAGTTGGCCTTCTTCAGGTCCATGGATTTGTATGTCCAAGGTGGATTTATCCCCATTTTACTAATGAGAAATCTGGGACATAGGTTAAGTAACATTCACAGAATTGTTCAATTTATAACTAATGGAATTAATTTTGGAGGCCAAATCTCTCTGGTCCAAAACTATGTATCAGTACTTCACTCTAAGAATACATTCATCTTCCCAAAGTCCTATTCAGATCACACCATTTGCCAATTTTAATTGCTATCCCTGAATTAAATAAAAGATTTTAACCTCAAATTTGTAGTCCTGACAACGCATGGCTTTGGTGTACCTCGCCACACCTGCCCTGTGAAACCTCTTCCAATCATACCAAACCACATTTTTCCCCAGTATCACAGTGAATTTTCTTGCTGCTGTGTCTTGCCTATATTTTTTTCCCTCCATCTTGAATGTCTTCATCTCCCCATACCTGTGGATTAAAACCCATAGTGATCTCTCATAGCTTATCTGAACAAAATACATCACTGATTCATTCATTTATTCATGTCAAATATTGATGTCTGTGAAGAGCAGATGACCAATGGCTATTTGAATCCGTGCTTTTTCCTTCCACTTGGTATTCTGCTGCTCTACTCAAAACCCATTAGCAAAGTATTTTTCATCTCTTCACCCAGCATTTTGCTATACTTTATAGTAATTTGCATACATACCCTCCCTCTTCTGTATGGTAATTTTATCTCTGTATTACCATGAATGTCTAACAATGCCTTTGGACATGATGGGTGCCAATAAATGTTTC